ATGTGACCATATTAATGTGACCATGCATTGGGTGTCAACATACCCGAGGTATTGTCCTTTTCAGCATCTACAGCATTTAAATAAAAATAAACGTTCCCTCAAATATGAAGTTGGCAAAAATAGAGATAGAAATAAATACATAAATAAATAGAAAATAATAATAGTTTTATTTATAAAGCACTTTTCAAGCTTAAGCACAAAATGCTTTCCAGATTAAAAGATATACAGAACAAACCCCCATAAACATACAAAATTAACAAGATAAAAGCAGTGAAAATATTAAAGGGAAAGGGAAAATACAAAGGGAAGAGTAAACAGGCAAATTAAAGTACATTATGTGATGACATAAAACACCATAAACATGCTAAGTGTAAGCCATCTTGTAGAGGTTAGTCTTCAGAAGACACTCAATAATAATCATTATGTCCTGCAGGAGATCCACTTTTTAAATCAAATTTCACATAATGTACTCAGCACTCCAGACCAAGGTTGTCACGATACCACAAGGATAAAGTTTGATATATATATAAACAATACCTCTTTTGATACCATGGCAAAAAGAGAAGAAACAATGAACAGTTATGAGCAACCTGCACACACTGTTGGTACAGAATAAGTCACTGAACATACACCAACGCAGTCAGTCAGTCCTCAATCAGCCAGGACCTGCTGATTTTCTTTGCTGTGGTTTCATATGTGCAGCCTTGGGTTGAAAATCTGATTGAGATCTGTTGTATTAAAGGATTGGTACTTCCAATACTATTCAATAATAGTAATCGTTTTAAACATGTTGCTATTGAAAAAGTATAATTCACTCTACAGTGAAAAACTGTATTGGTTCTAATGCAGAAACTCCGCTGAGGACTGATCCAGTACCATTGCTCCATATTTCCCATATTTATGTTTCCTCGCTGCATGGAACTTATTCTTATTCCTAAGTTATCACAAGGCTGTACCTGTAAAACTGAAAAACCTTTTAATTGTTAATGGACACACCATCATGTTCAACTTGTCTTTCACATGTAACAAGCTGATTTTGTTTTGCATGTAGGATTTAATGGTGTTTTGAGGAGATAGACGTGATAAACAGCACTGAGATGCTGGAATAAACACTGATTAGAGCCTCTGTGTGTCCACAGGATGGCGGACCCCCCCTCCACTCTAAAATCAGTGTTTTTTGTTCCCACAGTGTGCTGTTTGAATGATGT